ACGCGCGTGGGTAAATCGTCACGTACGCTGACGGTTTATAGTCTGGTTGCTATTGTTTTTGTGACGTTCAGCGTGTAGGGACGCACGTGCGCCTAGAACGTCGATGCCAGAGTTATAACCTTTGATGTCCCGAGATGTGCGTCCTTTTGTTGAATTACCTTGCTTTTACCGTCGAGTTCCACGAGCCGTGTCTGTGCTACTTGCACGTACACTGCTTCCGTAAAGGTGTGTCTACACGTCCGACTGAATCGCATAATAAAGTAAAATTATTTTTATCATTATGTCTGGTACATGGCAGATAAAAAGTATAGTAGGCACTTTAAATTTCGTTTCATGTACTTTATATTAGCAAACCCATTTATATAGGAAACTGAAAGGATGGCGAACTCATAAACACACAGAATTGTGAGTTGTTTATGTATACCAAACAAAAAGTACGTCAACATCATGTCAAATATATTGCCTAGAATATTTATTATATAATTATAACGAACATATGTTGTGTTTTTATGTAGGCTAATAATAGGCCTATAAACAGGACACTTGTATTGATTATTATCATTAATAATTAGAAAAATACGCAGTATGCTAATAACCCTAGTGCTCATAGAAAATTAGAATATATAGGCTTACACTGTAATTTACAAGGAGTTATGTTAACTCCAAAGGATTTATTATGTACCTAAAAAAAGTAGAGATAGACCTATAGAGAAATATTATAATGAGATGTTGTCCAACTTTGCCATTGTCATTATCTCTGTATATTCACATGACTCAAGTCACAGTCTTGCGCGCGCGTGTACAGAGCATTATAATGGTCGGTGGTCACGTGACGCGTTTTGATATAAATTTCATGTTTACATTTACAATGTCAAAGATCAAAATGGGGTTACCAAAAAAATAAATGTGAAATCATGGAAACGCGCCTTTAACTGTTAGTATGTATTATAACCTGAAGCTGCACGCATGTCAACGTTTTCTCCATCGTAGATCTGTTGCAGTTTCAGTACTAATTCCTGTACTAATTATACTTAATTTGCACGCTTGAATTAGTTATTTTCGATTCAATCCCTGTTACTAAAGTGAGCAATTTTAGATTAAGGCGCAGTTAGCACAGTGTATGACATTAAAGGACTTGAAAACAACGTACGAATACCAGCAGCGCCATTACATACAGGCCAAATCATTATTACTAAGCCTATTAATAATGTTATCATCTTAAATTGGGGTCAAGAAAGGAACGTTCATGTCGCAGCCCTGTTCCTACCAGTTCATGGGCGGATCCAGAGATGTCGTAAGGGGAGGGGGCCGGAAGGGAGCCGAAAGTGGGGCCGATAACAATACCCTCGGGGTCCGGGGGAATGCCCTTGCGCCCTTGCGAACTTTCTGTGTTCTAGATGCCCGAAAATAACCTCTGAGACCTGTTGGGCGATCAATTTGTTTTTCTTTTTCTTTCTTTATCTTTTTTTTTTTGACTTCCTGCCATCACTATCACGAAAATGGTATCGTTGAGTTTTAGAACTATGGCCTAAACTAACATACATAGTCCAATAGAGTATGAACTCGATAAGAAGATTTAATTTCTTTAGGCACGAGCGCCAAAACGGTATAGGCCTACATCTTGAAGGGTCCAAATTAGGCATATTGCCACTAAACAAAATTAGCAATTTTATAATTTGCAATTTTAAAAATGTTAAGAAAATAATTTAGCCCATTAGTAGTATATCTTATATAAATCTAAATGAAATTCTCATCGAACAGTAGGCCTATTAGGCCTAACAATCTAAGATGCAAATGTATTGTATCTATTATCTGAGATTTTTACTGAGCATCAACATATTTCTAAGCTGAAACAATAGTGATTTTTTTTCAGTTATCTTACAGATAATCATGTGAATACATTGAACTATCTGCCTCTGTAATAATAGGAAACACAATACGCCTCGAGGTTGACGAAGCTTTTGCAACCCATTAAATAGAAATTAGTGAATGGTTTGGACTCAGGATGGCTCGAGTATTATGATCCTTTACGGGCGCTTAAGTGATGTCAAAACGTGCTTATCGTTTCATATAGGTATGTGTTTTGAATATAATATTGAATGATAAAATGTAAGCTCCAATTTACACTGTGTGTTGTATATCGTTGCACTATCGTAAAACATTCGTAACTTTGGCAAGTACAGTAGATGCCTTAACAATATTTTGTAAACTCAAATTCAAAGAAATTATACCATCTATGTGTTTATTAATGTATTATTTTTTTTTGTCTCGAATTGCCTTGTTCTGTTAGAGACGTATTTAGACTAGAAACAAATATTTCTACATTGTATATTATATAGTGTCATATTACATGCAGACCTATTAAAATCTTCCTCTCAAAAAATGTTTGTAGTGAAATATTTATAAAAATTATGTTTGGATATGTGTCTCATTGAAAGTATATAGACTATACAGTAACTACTTTTTCTTTTTCTACAGTAATTGATGACACTCCAAAGTCGCGTATTCCATCAAATAGCCGAAAGGGTAGGTCTATCAATAGAAGACCAAAGGTTAACGGTTTCAAAAGTTGCTCATTTTCGCCAAGACAGTAAATTACATGCATTCAGAATTGCTCATCATTTGTTAAGTACCGATTTTCAATTACGTGTCCAAATTATTTGCCTACCTTAATTGTATTTATCGCTAATTAGTATGTTGTGATTGTAGGCTGTAGAGGCATCTCCAACGCTGCAATAGTGACTATCTTTAGATAAATTTAAACGACAGCCTAGGGTCTGCATATATATTTCAAAATCCGTTTTCTTCACAATTGATCGGTCAAATCATTGAATTTCACAAAACGTTACTCAACTCGTTGACGAAAAATATCAGTCGGACAGTCTAAAATATGCTCATAATTGTATGTGAGTATAATAATGGTAATAGGCCTATTAAATGATCATATTGCTAAGACGGAGTTCCTTGGGCCTACCCACATTATAATGCACTCTTCGAAATGTTCTCATCAACGAATTGCACGCTTGATGCTTTTTAAATTACAAAATTGTAATGATTTCTGTTTGCATAAATTTAATCGGTCACTCCATGGGCACTAGTATGCCTGAATGGTCAGGATGTGGATAGGTTGCTCAACTCGATTTGTCAGATCGTGTATTTTACACGTACATGATCGTCTCCATTTAACATCTTTGGAGTGTACAGCCTCGGTACTTGTGTGAAATGAAACTGTCAGTATAGGTATGCACTTAAGCCGTGACACATAATAAAGTGGTTCCACCAAGTATTATTTGAGAAAATGTCTTACAATCAACGAGTTTGCATCTTCACATAAATGTGACCTTGAGCTAGCTTGTGAATAATGAAATCATAAATAATATAATATAATAATAATAACCCGTATGATTATCAAAGTATCTGTAAAAATATTGTTGCTTTTTTTTTTCTTTTATTGCATCCGATGCGCCAAAGCTGCATCAACACATCGAAACGTCTGCTAAGCCTGGCTTGAATAAAGATCTTCGCCGGATATATATTAACATTTTATAAAGCGTCTGCCCGTGGGATTATTCCAGAACACAGCACCATAACATCATCGAATGGGCACGTTTTTGCCACGGTATTCGGGAGCTTTTGCTTGCACGACGACGGTAGAACGTAGAATGTAGTGACGTCAATAAAAGTCAAGTTAGGTTCTCCTCTTCGCATGGATTCTAGGACAAAAACTCTCCCTATTATTTACTTAAGATTTGTTCTTGGTTTGCTAATGAACTCATTTTCATTAATTGGCATTATTCAGTCTGAATAGTTCACTAATGATTCCACTGGAATATTAAATACGTAAAAAGTACAACGTCAATTGTTTGAATGTGAGTCGCGATAGCCAGAGATTTTGTCGTAATTTCTTAATCAAATGACATTAACTTTCAATTTGTTGGAAGACAATTTTATTGAGGCAAAATTCAACGTTAATTTTGCTTACGTGATCCTTAATTTAGTAAATTCGATTATGTTGTTTTCAAATTGTGGACGAATTGGTATTTAATAGCTATAAGTCTTTACAATTAGGTCTGTTCTATAACACGAGCTGGCATGTTTAAGACAAATTAACTGACTGTAGGTTATTATTAGTGTTGTAGTTGAGATCTTAAATACGCATCGTGTCGACAAACACATGATAAATACTGTCGGCGATATAGATAAATCTTATCTGAATCCCGTTTTATATACGAACATATTAATTAGGCTGAAGATGCATTGGTGTTATTTATATAATAAACCCATTGAATCGTTGTCATTATATTAAAAAAATCAGTTTTGCCAGTATTTGCTGATTTCCTACATCGTGAAATGCTTTTTCCTGGTCCTTGAGAGGAATTTTGTTACAAAATATGTAGGCCTAACACAGTTGTTGATAATGCTCACCCAGTAAGGAAGAACATACCTGATCAATACCCATGATTTTGCTTGTTCGATCATAATTTGTAGGTTTTTGAGCCTACCATAATATGATGTAATTATGATTCATAAATCAAAGTTATGATGTATCATTTCGAATTAATAAGTTTATTTTACAGTAATAACTATATTACAAACAAAGTTCTGTATGTTTCATTTGTACTTAATAAATAAAAACAATAAGTAGTTTTCGATTGAAAAAAAATTGATGAATTGATACTTCAATAGGTTGACGTAATAGAATGAAATCTTATTTATTTTATGTCTTCTTTAATAACGTCATAAAAGTGCCATATTTGCTATAATTTTAGAATAATTGAACATACCTAGGTTATAATCAACAATTATTTATTAGAATAAATCAAAGATATAAATTCATAAATGTGTATAATTTGGTTTCTTTAGTCAAATGCTTAGCAACGATAATTGTAGTCTCATGTTGTATAGCTTGACCTTAATCGTCATAACACTCCAGTGACCTCTGAAAGACTGAACCAAACGCGCAGTGACGTCGAAGCGTTTACTTTTGAACGATCGAGTGTACAGTGCAGTTAGAAAGACGATTATACCAAATATCATTTGCCAGTAAGTAGCCTACTGTACATTTATATTGCACGAAGTCCCAAGACACATCGCATCGAATATATAAATTAGATTTGACACCGTAATCATTACTTGAAAATTGGGATTTAAATCAACATTTGAAAGCGGTGCAAGATCACAAGGGCAGACAGCACATCTCAAGGGCCTGCAAGTCCTCAGTCTTCATTTGGGACAATTTTGATGATTATTATTATTATCTGAAAAATCTCTCTACAACATGACAATAATCGATCGTGGTACTGGCTGCATCAGATATTGGTAAGTTCGTATTTTTCGTTATAGATCTAAATCAGTATTTGTTATCAACATTATCATCTTTATTATCATCGTCACTAGTTTAAGGCCAAGTAATTAGCATATACGCCGTATACCAAGATCAATTAAAAGCGGTTGGTATGTATATACTTTAAGACTTTGATTTTGTTTGTTGATTAAAAGCATGTAATTAAATGGAATCAAGACAGAACAATTACCAGTTTATTAATATTAATATCTAGAATGACGTCGTTTTGCTAGTCACATCTTTGATATATAGCCTTTATTTGGACCAAATTAAGCGTCGTAGGTTTAGTTAACTTCCGTTTAGTTTTATAAACATGGTGTTGCAACATGTTCCTTTCCGAGATGGATGTAAATACAATTTATATTTTTCATTGTAAATATTATTTTTTTTTAGATTTGAACCCTCTATTTTTGAATTACAGGCGGTGAGCCATAACCACAATACCAGAATTCTAGCTATGCTTGCTGCATCGAGCTCAAATGTAATACACCTTTCATGGAAAAAATATAAATTTCTCATCGAAATCATAACTCGTCAAATCAGCTATAGGAATAATATATAATAACGTATAATATTCAATGCCTTAACGGCGAGCACTAGGTACATCAATTATGCTACAGAGAGCGTTACGTCTTAGGAATAGATTTAGGTCCAGTGATTTATAATTTTTATATGTAAAAATCACAATATTATAAATTTATTGTTTGGTAACTTTTATATAGTCGAAAAAACATTAAAATGGGCCTAAATGATGATGGTGAAACTAATAATATCGATAAAAATTGTAATAATAATAATAATAATTTATATTAGTATTTATTATACATTATTTATGATAAATGATACAGTACGGTATCAAAAATTGTTGTGTATAAATGATATCAATAATAATGACAACGACAATAACATTTACAATGAAGGCGGGCATACGTACGCGTATCCATAGTTCGTTTCATATGTAACCCATTTCTATGATAATCACATATACTTTGTTTCACTTTAATAAATCAATTTGAATTATACCCCTTTGTTTCAACTGAATGACTTTGGCATTACATTATAATGTTAAAGATAGTGAACCCTTAAGGCTTTTATTGCAGCAGTACAGTACACTGTGATATTCACACTATGTATGCGAAAACAGAATCCAGGTCAAGTTTATCGTTTGCTTTGGATTAAAGCGACTGTCTCCGTTAAACTCGAGCGTGTGGATGCACCAGCGCGATGTGTACACTCGCGCTTTGCATGGTAGCCAATCATAGAAAGTTCACTTCATACCTGGAAGGAGTAATCGTTTAAGTGTGAGACTAAATTACAGTAGATATGAAATATAAATACTCAATAATACATAAGTATACATGTATGTATAAAAGCTTGGGTCAACAAATCCAGTATAATAATTTATAATAGGTCTACAACCCTGAGGTAATAGGCTTGATTTATTTAGCCTATGCAGTGCTGTTTATAATTCAATATTAAATTAATGTCTTAAGCGAGTTTCAGATACTTGTATTATAATGACTCAATCGTTGACTATAAAGCCATGTTGCGCGTTTCATATGACAATTTGATCTCTTCTCATCACGTGGCCGCAAAATGGCATTAGATTTTCTCATCATCATTTTAGTCTTCATAATCTCAACTTAGCTGCTCTACATATTTTCCTAATAAAAATGAAAACAGACTTGAAACACTCCGATTATTTTTGAAACTTTGTATTGTTTTTAGTATTTATGATGATTATACACCCGCCCATTTTCAACCCTACCACGTGAGTTATGAATGCACAATTGTCTGTCAGTTTTTCATTTTTCTGTCCCTGTTCTCGTGTTACCCCCACGCTGCTCATGCCTCACTGAATACACAATTGGTATGCAATGCAGTTTGTGACGTGGACATTAAAACCATCATAGACTACAACGATAGTGGGGCGAATGAGTGGGTGGGTCTGTAGTCATCTGTGTTATTAAAAAACGCCCCGATAAATAATAGGCCTATATGTAAGGGCATTTGCTATTGCCAAGCAATGGCCCAGCAATGGCCCATGGGCCAAGCTAGATGTATTAAATTAAATTGAATGGGATCAATAAATGATGTTAAATTCAGAATTTTCAGTAGTACGACGTTTTTTTAATGAATAATGTATGTTTGATGAGAGTTAAATGTTGGCCAGTACGGGTATTTCAAACCTCTTGCCAGGATATGCATTTAGAATACAGATTTCCACATTAAATAATAGTCAGCATTGATTGGTAGAAATAACGACAACGTAGATCTGGCATATAATACAGGAGTTTGTTGGATATATATATTACATTTGTCATAGGCAGGAATACATACCGAATAATATATACGATACGATTTCTTCGTATTTCGTAAAAAAAAAATATATATATAAACTTACTTTATAGGCCATATTAAATGAATGTCATAATGTAATATTATGGTTAAGTTGTTTATAGCAAGTGCCACAAATAAAATTGGATATGTAGAAAGAAAAACACCGAAGAAACCTTGGGTAAACAAAATATGATAAAGAAAATGGATGAACGTAGGAAGGTGGAAGAAAATAAATACTAAAGAAGGTCGGAAAAGAGACTTCGTAAATCCTACAGGCATATATTTTAGTATATTCGATACTATATTATGTAGAATGACGTGTAGGGCTATATTCTGATCACTCTCTCACGCGTGCACATGTGTTTGTGAAATTACAAATGTGAAATAAACGAGATTTGCACAGCTCTCATTTCATCTTCCACATTATGCGTAAACACTTCTCCCTATATTTCCTATACACATTATTTTTAGATATATTTATATTTAATGTCTGGAAAGTGAGGAGGCTATAGTCTTGTGTTACGGCACTTCTACTTGATATCGAATGTCTTGCTCTTGAAACGTGACTCGTTTTAAAGTTCCTTCCGGGAAATTTGCATAGTTTGTGGCATTTACATTTAGAATGAAAACAATAGGTTACATTTTTTTATGACGATAAAAAAAAAAGAATATTGTTGCCAACAAGGTGAAGAAATATATTATTAATTAATTTGCTTTAAAAATGACATCGAACGATTAATTATGCTCCGCCCGTGATTGGCTGTTACATTATTATCTACTGCTACGAATATATATCGTATCAATTACTGTAACAGTTTTCATAATATTCTAAAGCACTATTTGTGTGCCAATCCATAATATTGTGGTCGTTCTAAACCATAAAATCTCTTCCTATGGACCGCACCAGGAATTTTAATCTGGGACCGTGACAGAGGCTCTATTCGGACCTCCTAGTCGGATTCATTTGGCCTCCTTGTCGCACATTTCTGGAGCCACCACTGAACGCACTTAGTCCGTCAGTTGATCCTCGCAAACATGAATCCCTAGGTAAAAAAGGCATGCGAAGTTTATGAACATTTACATGATGGACACCATTGGTGTGATTTCCCTTGGCATTATAGCACATGAAAAGAAGCAGTAGGCGCTGTAATGTGTTACTTAAATTGTCATTCAAAATTATTAACACCTTTAAGCTTCACTTCGATTTATGTCCGAGACACTTTCGATCATAATCACTGTTTCATATGATGAATATGTTATTCTCCGAAGCGTGCAGTGGGTATGGTATGCGGCTGGATACCCAGAAGTGTTCGGATAATGCATTCCTCCCTGCCTTTAAGCATTCGCCTAACGTACACTGGAGGCTGCATACCATACCCGGGTTCGAACAACTTACCCCTCTCAGTAAGATAGAAGTCCAGCTTTTTAGCATTCTTTTATAATACAGGAAGAGGTAGGTTGAAAAGTCTGAGCGGCCAGCCGCATTAAGCCGTGCACCTACTGCACACGACGGCCGTCGCCGACGCGATTCTATGGTGAACACAACACGCGCCCAACTGATCGATTTTAATGACCGGTTCAGACTGCTACCGACAATCAACAGACGGCGTCGCGTCGTCTCACAGGAAGCCGAGTTAGATTCGTCGTCCGGCGGTCGTACGACGCAGTGAGTGCCCTAATTTAGAGAACACAGACTGGATTGTTCCCCAGTTTGCCACAGCTATCAAGCTTGATAAGATTCCGACTTTGGGCTACTTGAGCTAGGCATTCACTGCGTGGTACGAAAATCGCACGATGAATCCAACTCCGCTCTCTGTGAGCGACGCCACGCCGCTTGCTAATTGCCGGCTGGTGGCAGTCTGAACGGATCTGTCGCGCGCGCGTAGGTTCTCGTTGCGTTCTTCATAGAATCGCGTCGGCTGACGACACTCGGGCGCAGTTAGTGCCCGGCTTTAGGCCTAAAATAAAATGTTGATGGACAAATACGATACTCCATAATCTGTCCTGTTTAAATTTGTAGAGTCGTCAGCTACGGTACTGAACTTAACTGTGCTCTGGTGGCAACTGTCTGAATGTCCACTGTGCAGGAGTGTTTTAACAATACTACACGGAAAAAACTCTTTCCACATCACGTTTTCCCTTTCTTCACATAAAACAAGGATTGCCAATAGCAAATTCAATCACTGTCTTAACACAAAAAAAAGTTGCAATCCCTCTCAAAAGACAAACATATGACGCTTCTCCTCTACATAAACTATGTGTCATTATGGAGCTTAGGGAGTAAAGTTGATTTTCAATTCAGCAATTCAAATAATGAAATTGAATTTTTCCATATGTTTAGTTCATGACATACAGTGTATACTCTTTAACGAATTCTTCCCTGTTACAGGTATCTGTCCTCAATGAATTCGGGACTCTGAGCCTTAATACATAATTCGGACTCTGGGCAGTTAATTCGGTCGGAAGCAAATTCTGTTGGGATCCACTACCCGTTGGTATTTGACATAGGAGAGCGCTGTACCCAATGCCGTAGCCAAGATTTTCAAACAGTGCGGGACAATCAGGGAGGGGGGGGGGGCACATTTTGCGTAAATTAAAATAATTTCGACCCATTTTCTTAAAACTGACCCATTTT